TGTTTATGGCCACTCTCTCTAGGTCCTCTCCTCTCTTAACAAAACCCATGCCAACCAGCACCTCACCCCTCCACTGAAACTATTCTGTCAGCAAGGTCACCATGAATCAAGGTCATCCATGACTAATCAAGGTCACCAAGGGTCGATTCTCAGCCTTCATCTTTCTGGAGCAATCAGCAGCATCTGATACAGACCATCACTCTCTTCTCCTGCTCCCAGGATCCTACACTCTCTGTTTTCCTGCGACATCTCAAGCCGGCTTCTCTCCTTCTCTCACACTTCATATCCAATGCCTCAGGAAATCCTCTGGGGGTCCGCCTTCAAAATATATTCAGGATATGACCACTTCTTACCACTCTGGTCCAAGTCACCTCCACCTCCACCGGGATGACTACAATAGATTCTTAACAGGTCTCCCCGCTTCCAGCCTTGCCCTCTAAATACTATTCTCAAGTCACTAGCATGATGTTGCTAAACGTACATGCCTAACTCCCTCATTTCCTTCAAACCTTTTTTTTTTATATATATCTTTATTGATTTCAGAGAGAGGAAGGGAGAGAGAGAGCGAGAGAGAGAGAACATCAATGATGAGTCATCACTGATCGGCTGCCTCCTGCACACCCCCAACTGGGGATTGAGCCTGAAACCCAGGCATGTGCCCTGACTGGGAATCGAACCTTAATCTCCTGGATCCTAGGTGGATGCTCAACTACTGAGCCACTCCCGTCTGGGCTTTTCTTTTTTAATCTTTTCTAATTTTCATTTTTTTATGTTTTTATTTATTTTAGAAAGAGAGGAAGGGAGATGGAGAAACACTAATCAGCTGCCCCCTGCAGGCCTCATTCTGGGGATCAAGCTCGAAAGCCAGGTACTGGCCCTGACCAGGAATTGAACCAGCGGCCTCTCAGTGCATAGGATGGCGCTTAACCAACTGAGCCACATCGGCCAGGGCAGTTCAATGATTTCTTGAGACTCAATCCTTAGTTCTCACGACACTCTGACAGCATGGTTTGCAGACAGAACATGGGTTCTTTGATCATGGTTTAATTAATTCAAATTATGTACCATATGAATGGTGACTGCTTTGATTATTGCCTTCAGTTTTTCCAAAAGTATTAAGAGACAACTCGTTTTAGTGGAGGCCTTTACAACTCATGAATAGTAAATGTTTTTCGTACAATCAAAGTGATAAACCCATAATCATAGCAATGTTCCATGTTATCTGCTCACTTATAGAAAGCTGAGTTGTTGAGCATCATTGTCTCTATTTTAAAGTGAAGAAACTACAACAGAGAAAGATTCGGTCACTCAGCTCATGAAAGGCAGAACCCAGTACCCAGATCATACTTTAGCAATTGTTCAAAAGACAAATTTGTATTTTCTGATCTTTTGATCTGTGTCAAACATTTTTGCAATAGTTATAGTATGTCATGACTGAGCATCTCTTGAAAAGAAGTTGTCCAGCTTAGTTGCAGAGAAGTGGAAGATGGCATGTGGTAGGACAAAGAACACCGGACGAGAAGGTGAGACTTGATTTCCACCCTCAGCTCTGTGCCTGACTACTGCTCTGACCTTGAACAAGTCACCCCACATCCCTGGGCCTCCAGTTCCTCACCTACAAAAGGAAGTCTTAGCATCAGGCAACTTTCATTAAAAAAAAAAATATTTTGCACTTCAATGCTTGCTTGCGGCAGATGTTCCTCATTCACCTCTTCACTCGCACGGAATCCTTGGTGCTCCTGGCTGTGGCCTCTGATCGTTTTGTGGCCATTTCTAACCCCTTGAGAGGCACCACCATTCGAACTCATGCAAGAATCACACAGGTTGGCTCGGCAGTCATTACCAGGGGGACTGTCACCCTGACACCACTAGTCCTGCTTCTTAGGGGTCTGTCATTCTGCTGCGGCCACGTGCTCTATCACTCCCACTGCTTCCACCCTGAAGTGACGAAGCTCTCTTGTTCAGATACAAAGGTCAATAGTGCACTTGGACTAACTGCAATGATCTCTGCCGCTGGAGTGGACTCCGTCTTTATCCTGCTTTCCTGTGTCTTGATCGTTTGCTCTGTTCTCAATATTGCATCCCCAGTGGAGAGGAAAAAGGCCTTCAGTGCCTGCGTTTCTCATATCACTGCTGTGGCCATTTCCTACATCCCTTTGATCAGCCCTGTCTTTTCTTCACAGATTAGGAAAATGTGCTCCACCCTGTGTGTCCACACTCATTGCTAATTTATACTTGCTCGTCCCCCCTGTGATGAAGCTCATCATCTATAGTGTGAAAACAGGGCAGATTCAAAAAGCAATGCTCAAACTTCTATGTTGCAAGAGAACTCATATCTAACAATTATTGCTCCCATAAAAGCCCATCTCAAAGTCAATGAAAATTTATCACAAATTGGAGTTATAAACCCACGCAATTTTAAAGTTGGATGGAACTAGAAATTATTCAAATTTAAACATCTCTACAATGTAGCTAATCCTACCTAAGGCAGTTTTATGTTTTCTCTACCAAGATACTAACTCAGATTCTTACTACCTCTCAGTTACCCTGCTCCTCTAAGTGTCTAACTGATCTCCGATTGCTCTGCTATTTCTGCCCAAAACTACCTGTCATTTATTTTGAATTAACTTTCCAAACATCCAGCTCCCCAGAGGTTTTGCCTCACTTTCTGTCTCTCATCCAGGGATTGAGTCTCAGCTAAATGCCCTTTTTTCAGCCACCAAATATGCCCGTTCACTAAATCATGCACACTTTTTTCCCCCCAGTAAGGTCACATCTCACATCTATTTTTTCTCATCAGAAAATAGAGTGTTATTGCTATTTTCCTTCTGTTTCTGTCACCTTTTAGTCATGGAGGCATTATGGAAGGTTAAGAGCTAGTGGCCACCTTGAGAAGCCTGCTCCGGCAGAGCGTGGGCAGCCGCCCCATCTGTAATCGCCACACTCTGTCCAACCGCAGTGGCTGTGTAGCAACATGTTCTGTGGGTAATCTGACAGCTAAAGTGGTGAAAGAAAAGCAGGGATTCGTGTTGCCAAATGGATTTTTTTCTGGAGTTACCTGACTTGCAACTCAATCAGCATATAAGACTAAAATAAAATATAAATTCCAGCCATTAAACCACTTATCCATGTTTTTATAAACATCAAGCTTTTTACAAACTAGGCACTTGTGGTAGATTGCCAAATGGCCACATGTTCCCCATCCCTGCAGGCATACCCCTTCAATGTGAATTTGAAGCTTCTCCCATTGCGAGGTGACGTCTGTGTCGCTGCACCTAGAATCTGGGCTTGGACAAGTGATTTGATTTAGACAAAGAGGCTGGCCCATGTGAAGCAAGCAGAGACTTGCCCGTCCTTTTACTATGGTTAGAACCCTGAGGCTACTGTGTAAAGGAGCCCAAGCTGGGCTGCTAATAGATGAGAGGCCACAGGAGGAGATTTGAACCATCCTAGCCAGCCAGGCCCCAGTCAACAACCTCCCAATAGTCAGGTGAGTGAGGCCATCCTAGACCAACCAGCCTCCAGTCAAACTGCCAGCTGATGGCAGAGACTGTAATAAGCCCAGCAAAGAACAGCAAAGCCAGCCTAGAGAAGAACCACCTATGCAGCCTACAGATTTATGAGCAAAATAAGTGCTTCTTGTTTTAGCCAATAAGTTTTGGAGTGATTTGTTATGCAGCAGTAGCTAACTGATATAGTGCTCAGCAAATAACTGCTAATTCAGATGTCTAATAGGAGTATGAGAATGCAAAGATAATTGTGTATATTTAGAATACAGCAGAGAAAATTGCAAAATAGAATAGGAACTGGCAGAGATAAGCAAATAGCCTGATTTTTCTCCCTAAATTAAAAAAAAAAATTTTTTAATACGAAAGCAGCAGAAACAAATTTGTATTCCCAACTGTTGACTCACCTTCCACTCTGACCTGCTCTGTGAATCTGACCTATGAGTTCAAGCTGGACCTCAATAAAAAAATACTGACCCCCCTCTGCCCCTTGCAAGTGTGGAGAAGACTCACAAACTCTTGTTCAGAAATAATCTAGGGCTCCTTGGATGATGTTGAAGCACAAATCATTACTGCTGAAACAGCACCAGTGGCCCCTGTATTAATATGTAGTTAGAGAGAAGCCTCTGTAAGAAAGGAGATGTGCTGGTTCTTCAGCCAGGGATTAAAAACTGGAGAAAGCTGCAGGTAGATGCAGGAAGTACATGGAGCAGTGTGAGTGTGTACATTTCAAACATGTTTCCATTTTTAATGTTGGCTAGATCTACATTTTAGTCTGTTCAAAGAGTATACCTTCTGAGGAAATAGTGATGATATAAATATAGGTATAGTTTTTGCATCCCAAATCACAAACTGTCTGAAGATTTTTAACTTTTTCAATAGCCTGTCTGCTAATACTTTATAGTAACCAGGCAGACTACATGATATAACAGTTGTGCTGAGATTAAAATATTTTACTCATTTGAAAGACTTCTAAAGCAAGAAAAGTTTATAAAATAAATTGGTATTTTTATACATCTTGGTAACTCAGAACTATGGCTTTTTTGAGGGGAAAAAATTGTTTTTCTCCCCAAATCAGATTTGTGTTAAATGTCCCTCTACAGTGTTAATTGTCCCTTTAGTGTGTGCCAGTGGGTCCCAAACTCTTTGATCATCAGAGTTTCTACAGTCTTTTAAAAAATATAAAGACTTTGTTCTCATTCATGGGTATTCTGATCCAGTGGAACCTAGAATTCTGTGTTTTTAAAATGGTGACTCTGTAGATGGGCCAGTTTGGGAAATTACTATGGGAAAATGCAATTAATGGATGCAACCATTCAAATGACTTTTTCATAGTCATAATAAAGAGATTCATCTCAAAATAACATTTTTAACAAAATAACATTTAACAAATGCCTACTCACTGTTAGCAACTTGACCATTTCTGAACCAAAAACAACACTGTATTTGCTGAAAAATAAAAATCAATATCTGTTGCAGGAGTTAGTTGGAGCAAATGCTTTCTTGTGTACTAGATACAGTCATCTGAGCTCCCACATGTAGATTAATTCTTAATTATAAACCTAACTTCTAATGCTGCCCAATCACCATTAATATGCTCCTGGCTTCTCCGCCCCCAAGCTGGCCTTCTTGGGGAAGCGGAATGACTTCAACTGACTGGTAAGATTTTTGATTGGGAAATAGGGCATATGAAGCCCCAGCCCTTCCTTCTCTTCCTCTTGAAAGAAAATTTCCTGGCTGACTGCATGTTGTTTCTCTGTCCTCCTAGGCCTTACCTGGCCAGTGTGTCCCATGTCTAAATCTGTTTTATTCTGGAATTTGGCACACCTTTTGACAGCAGATAAAAGTCACATGTCTCTTTAGAGGATTTCGCAGTCCTAACCGAAATAGTTTGGCCTCGACCAGACACAGGCAAGGGAAAAGACTGTTAGGTATGGGACTCTCTTCAAAGGTACCAACGTGCTCCTGTGAAATCATTATTATTTCTGTTTTAGAGATGAGTAAATTAAGAGTCAACAGCTCACATCCCTTGCCCAAGACTACTTGAGCCATAAGAGGGAACTCTGAGTCTTGCACACAGTTCTTCTGACTAAATAACATACTTGAAAAAAGGTTGCATATGGGCTTTAGTTAATACTGTATCAATACTGGTTCATTAATTGTAACAAATATACCATAATAATGTTAGGTGTTAATAAAAGGGGAAGCTGGGGGCAGGGTATGTGGGAGTTCTCTTTCTATCCTCAGAATTTTTCTGAAAATCTAAAACTGTTCTAAAAAATAAAGTTTATTTTTTAAAAGATTACATATAAAATAAATGGCATCATAAGAACGAATACTGTTTCGGAACTTTTTTTGGGTGCTAAATAAAAATAAAGAAACTTCTAGTTGGAGTGTATCTGCATTGCCTCACATCCAGATCTGGCCAATTGTAAGGGTGAAGAGGCTCTAGAAGCAGACCTTGATTTGAATCACAGCTCTGTGACTTGCTGCCAGTTACTTAACCTCTCTGAGCCCCAACTTCCTCAAAAAGGGGACCAATACCTGAGTAATGAGGTGGCTGAATGAATTTAAATAATATATTAGGGGCACCTGGCCGACATGGCTCAGGAGGTCACGGTTCCATTCCTGGTCAGGGCACATGCCCGGGTTTCGGGCTTAGTCCCCAGTAGGGGACATACAGGAAGAAGCCAACCAATTACTCTCTCATCATTGATATTTCTGTCTCTCTCCCTCTCCCTTCCTCTCTCTGAAATCAATAAAAAAATATTTAAAAAAATAATATATTAATGGTTATTATAATTTAGTGCCTAAAATAATAAAAGTGACTAGAATGGTGTGTTTGGCACAGGCTAAGCACCCCATCCTCTATGCACCCACCCCGTTCTGATTCAGTGTGCCTGGGGTGGAACCAAGAATCTGCTTTTTTAAAATAAGTGTTTCCCAGGTGACTCTGGTGAATTGGGAGCTACTATTGCAGCCCAACCTCACCTGCAAGTGAAGTGCTTCGCCTGACTGCCTACCGGGGCTGTCAGAAGCAGCCTCACTGACTGGGTTTCAGACTTCACTGTCCCCTGAGGCTTTTTCCCAAGCTCACCCGTGCGTCTTCATCTGGCACTGTTCCTCTCACACCCCAGGGGTGCTGGCCAGTCCTGAGTTCAAGGATCTTATCAGCTCAGGTTACTCCCTTGTTCGCCCCTCTCTGTCCTCTGAATTCTGATTCCTGAAGAATTTGAACTGGAATTACATTCTCGTAGCGTATACTATTTTCAATATTATAACCACACAAGCAATTCCTAGCAAATACACTGAGAGCTCTGCCATCACAGGAGAAAATGAGACATTCCAAACACACCAGTATTCCCCCGTCTGAATTCTACGTGCGTCCTGTGGCTTAAAGTGCTTATGAGCCTATCGTGTCCCGGAACCTTCCTCTGTGACGAGAGTCATTGATCGGCTGCCTCCAGGAACAGGTATCTTTCTCTGAGATTGCTTTCTTCCCACACAGTGCATATGTTTGGGGAGAATAGATGGAGATAGGAGGAGTGAAGGTAAGAAGCGTTTTAAAAAGAATGAAATCTATGCTTCAAGTGGAGAAAATTCTTTCAGCTGACTCTAAAAACATTTATGCTTCATTTGGAGAGACACATTTTAAAAATCTTCCTGCTAGAATAGCATAAGTAAAAATAAATACAATGATGAGGCACAAAACAGGAAATACTAAGAAACAGAAAAAAGATTCATTCTATGGTGTATATAATTGGCTATGTATTAATGGTATCTTGGTGCATTTTCTCTTTAAGAGAAGGTTAATTATCAGAAAATAGATGGCTG